AAGACCAACCAGGTCACGGCGACTAGAACGATGGTTCGATTGTCCGTCACCATTTTGTCACCAGTCGCACTGAGAAAGTGTAGACACGAATGTCTGTCTTCCTGATCTCGAGCTGTTCGATCCTATTCTCTATGATCGTCGGGAAAAAACATCTTATTAAATGGTAAATGATAAATAGAAGCTACGATGCAAACAGCCGTTTGTCGGAATAAGACCTTCCCGAAAGATTCGATTTTCTGCGAATCGGAGAACTGACAGTGTTGTCATGATCAAAAGTAATGCTTCACGTTTGAGGATACAGTTGATGATTAGTAAACCTTGGGAAGTGTAATAATCATTTTGTGTGTTTTCTGCCACATCTCAACTAGTGATAGTTCATAACTCATGCAGGTTGTTCAAACTAGACCTAAAAATCAATGATTTCATACACAGAAACACGCAAGATGATGTTCCGTGAAATCTGAGATTTTGTAGGTGGATCCAGGTCTGTCTATCTTCATCGCTCGTCTCATAGTATATTGGTTAGGAATTCAAGTGGTCTATTTACATGCATGTACTGTAGCATAGCCAGCAGTTTCAGAAGTCAACAAACTAATTCTGAACCGTAACTTGTGAGTAGTGTTGTGGGATAATTGTTATTGATTGACTTAAACTGACCGTCCTTGAGACATCTGAACGGACATGAATAGGCAATTCGGTTCGGCCCTGGCATGAGATGGTTAGCACAGCGGTAACGCCCACACCTTCCATGCGATGCAGACAGATGCAGCATGGATTTCCACCGTTTATATCTATTCTTTTCTGTAATGTGTGTGAGGAATTCTACTGTCATACCCTTCACTTTTCATTGTTGGCACGGAAATTACCGGTGGAGGCGTGCCATTATGAGACCTATATGTTTTTGGATCTGCTATGTGGTTACTCGCGAGTAGTGTGTAATTCTAAACCATATTTGGAGGTATGACAGGCGACCAAAAGTCGATTGGTCAAAATTAGAATTCAGCGATCGTTCCCAAAGTTACATAAGGCAAACGCAGCAGCTAAAAAAAGTTTTTTTGATAAATTCATCTTGGGCCTAACATATATATATATATTTTTATAACTTTAAGAATATCAAATTAGTGCTATGGTCTGTTGTGGTGAATATTATTAGTTAGTTATAATGTTGTGATGTGTGGTTTGGTAATGGAGCAGTTCACTTCCCTGAACATTTTCAAATCAGAGAAAATCAACCGTACTGTTCCCGTTATTTCATAAAATTAACACATCGCGACATTAAAATGAACCAGTCATATTCATTTCAACAGAACATTACACTAATTTGGTTCTTTTAAACTATACCAGCCCCAAGAAGTCACCGAAATGAAAATTACTGATTCATTTAAATATAAACAGTATAACATGTAATATAAAATACAAAAAGTATTCTTGGGCAGTGTAGGGTCATCCATTCAAATAAGTAGATCTTATTAAGCCGGCTATTTTTGCAGTTTTTACGTTTGCCAACTACAGTAGATGTAACTAGTGCCACTGTTTCTTGTGTTGATGTGCCTAAATATGGTCATTAGCTTGCCGAGTAGTTCACTCTTTCGGGTTATTTGTAATAATTTATCCCATTTATTATGAGTTATTCGTGACTTACATTTTTTCATCCTCTGGTAGGTTGACCATTTTGACGTCTTCACAGGGATCTGTGATCGCAAAGAAATTTAATTTTGGCAAGAAGGCTTTTGTCTTTTGCAATCAGTTAATGAAGCCAAAAAATGTTTGGCTTAATTAAACTTGGCAGGCTTCGCTAAAACACATCTAAAGATTTTTAGTAATGTGTTTAATTTATCCGGGGTGATAAATTTGCCAACGTTCCGCGAAATACAAGGAATTTAGATTTACTGGACTGAAAATTTTGCTTCTCGCTATTCAAGCAATTTTCTCCCCTTTTTCTTCTCTCGCTCCCGCATGCACACTCATGTCCGTTCAGATACGATCCGTTTGTGACTGGATTATTGGTAACTGCCAAGAGGTATTCGCCTACGCAAAACTGTGGGAACGAGGTCATTTGACGTATCACCACGAGCCGAACAAACTGGAAGAACAATTGGCTACATTTCAGGTGAGCTGGATGAAACCACCTCCTGCTAATGGGTTTATTCACTTTCGCCTCGTGGATGCTGCACTCCTATCAGTGAAGTTGTATTTTTTGTCTCAAACGTGCTCTCTGTTCCCGAAGACCGTTATTCCATATTCACAATTCCAGCGAGTGAAAGAGAAAATTAATCAGGCAATCCATTCGGGAAAACTCTGCACATTGTGGATAAAATTAACCATCCCCCAATTCCCGGTCTAGGTCACTCATGATTGATGCTTGGACAAAATCATAACAGAACTGGTGAATCCCACAATTATAAGGTAAAACTCACAAACATGGTGACTGGTTTGGAGCTATCAGTTTATTCGTTTCGTATTTGAAAGCATAATGATTATGCACAGTGGAAGTGTGTTCTACTGATAAGCGGAAAAAATAATATGAACAAAAACAGTAAACGTGACAAACGCGGACTTGCCAGGAGCGGACTGAACTAGTGAACAGAAGGGGAGTTGGAATGGCAGATACGAGGCCATGCTAACAGAGACTGTGATAATGGCGATAAAAATGGACGGTTAAGAGCCAGCTCGGTGGTAGGAGGATGACTGCATAGAGAAAGTAGTCGTCGAAATACCGATTAGAAGAATAGCCCAACAATATACATGGTGAAGGGACAGGGAACAGGACTGTATTTCTCAACTTTTGAGCGTGTTTCCACATTGTAACTGATTAAGTGTTGTGAGGATTGGGTAGAGCTCCAAATTAGCAATTAACAGCGGTAAAGTGGCAAGGGTCACCAACTAACCGAGAGGTAATGTGTTCGAATTCCCCTTTTCAAAGACTCATCATCATTACCGTACATGGAAATACAGTGAAGCGAACTTCGCTGATCGCTGCCAAACTCGCAATGCATACAAGGTTAGCAGTAAAATTTGAGGTGGAGAGGGATTGGATCTATTTTGAGGGAGGGAGAAGAAGATGAGCCACTATGGTCAACACACAGAGTACGCAATCGAACTCTGCATACATATCGTTTCAAGCATTCTGACCTGATAAGAAAGACAACAAGAACGCTGCTGGTTCGCTGCCATATCCTTCAATGTCTCCAACCAACAAGTTGTGGAGTCTTTCGGACCCCAACCTAGAAGGCGAGAGACACCTACTCTACATAATGGCTCTGCATTTCTTCATGCCTCGTCTCCACATCATCTGTTGACCTCCACGTGGTTTCCTCCAGCCCGGATTAGCTACAGCGAATAAGGCGCTGTGCGGTAGACGATGGCTGGGCATACGCAATACGTGCCCTAACCAGCGAAGCCCAGTAATCTGAATTCCATATGCTAGCAGGTTTATACCTGACAGACTCCTAAACACACGACGGCTTACCTCCACGTTACTAACCCGTTCGCTCCATCCAAGATGGGCTAAACTGCGTAAACACCGATAATCGAAAACTTCTAGTTGACTGATATCTTCTACTCGCAAATTCAGGGTCTCACAATCATAAAGCAGGACTGAAAGAACACTAGCACAATATACACGACCTTTCAACTTCAGTAAAACGTCGCGTCTACGCCAAAGGTGTTTCAGTCCTGCGTATGCTGCTCGAGCCTTGGAAATGCTAGCGGTTATCTCCTTTGCTGCACTACTGTCATTGGTCACGCAACTACCTAAGTAAGAAAAGTAATCCACCACAACTAAATCCTGGCCATTTAGTGTCAGAGCGGGAGTCGACGAAACCCTGTCCTGCAGCATCACTTTAAACTTTGAAGATGCAAAGCACATACCGAATGTGTCAGCTGCACTTGTTAATCGATCAAGTGCGCTTTGTGT